GCTCTAGGGAAAAGTGATGGTTGGGTGACCCAGGAACCCTGTGTTTTCACAAGAAGAAGGGACTTGAGCAAGGAGACTACCTGCCTGTCCCTTCCTCTGTGGTTACAGGAAACCGTATCTGGAGTCACCACGTTGAAAATTAAGCATGCTCAGCCCCACGCGTGCTCAGCAGTACTTAGCCGGCTTCCCTCAGTGCACAGAAAGCCCAGCATTTCAAGCTGCTTGCTGGAGACACAGGCAAAGGTCTTCCACACTCTGTGGCTTCTTTTCCTTCACCCAGATCAGATGCCCAGAGGCAGGGCAGGGCCTTCTGCTGTGGGCACACTCAGGGGAGCCCAAGTCCTAAGCAAGAGTCCTGGGACTCTCATCCTCTCCGCTCTGCACAAGTCTCAGATAGCTGCTGAGTTGCCGTGCCATGTTTCTGACACAGAGAACAGTAAGATCTGGGAGGATCCAGGGCACATTGTGCCTAAATCACCCTATTATAGTGCGGAACTATGAGGAAGCATACAGGCTATGGATGCAGTGGCGATCAAACCCTGTGACCACAGCTGAAGCTGGACAAGCCAGTAGACTATGTTCCTGTTGAGACTCCCCCTTTGTGGTCCTGATGCAAGTTCATATCCAGGGAACGGAGACTCCCCTCACGTCACCTCCATCCCAGATGCCAGCCACAGCTTGCTGGGAGCTGACCAGGTCCTGATGCAGAGAGGGACCCAAGCTCCACCTGGGCCAGGCTGATCTTCAGGCATGAAGATGTTGCACATGGCTGTGCTGGGAAGGTGGAGTGCAGTGAGAATTTCCTAAGTATCTCTCAGTTGCTAGGAGTCTACAGCGTAGACTACCTCAGGCATGGCTAGTTATCAGATTTAGTCACTGCCTGCTGCATCTGACAAACAGAGGAGTCCTAGGATGTACAAGCCAGCAGCCAAAGCCTACGCTGGGAAGTAGAGATCCATGTGGGGAGAGGCTGGTCATTACCAGACCCACAGGCTGGCTGGGAGCTGAAACAACAGATGTGAGAGAACCAGAGATCTGTCAGGTGAAAGACCACTGCCAACTGACCGCTGCCGAAGCTGAGCACAGCCTGGCCAAGGCAGGCTGGTTTTGTCATCCAAGGCAAACACCTCTCTGCAGTCTGACGACCAGGAATCATTCTCTGAACTTCTGCAGTACATTTTACAGCAAGAGGTTCAGGGTGCAGTCTCTGGGGGGCGTGGCTTCTTTCCCCAGCCATGAAGCTCCAACAAGTCCTGGCCTGGTTAGCCACTGTGGATAGCCACAGTCTGCTTCTTCCAGGGGCCATGATGGCCACTCCACTGTGTTGACTTCTCAGCTGCTACCATTCCTGAAGCTCTAGATACCTGTGCGCATGCCTGTGCTCCTTTTGCAAGCTCCGTATTCATGACACGACTCTGTGTTAGACATTTAAGGCACTCATGGGCTCTATATTCCTGCATTCATGAAAATTTTCGTTTTATTTATTTATTCTTTAAAAGGTTTTTTATTACATTTATTTATTTATTTTGTGTGGGCATGCAGGTGCCATAGGGTGGATATGGAGGTCAAATGACAACCTATTTCTCTTCTTCTAGTCTCCAGGTCCTGTGGATCAAAGTCAGGATTGAGACTTAGCAGCATGTGCCTTTACCTGCTGAGTCATAGCCCAGGCCTTTTATCTTAAAAGTTTTTGTTAAAGATTATATTTACTTACTTATTTGTGTATGTGTGTGTGTGAGAGGGCATTAGTGTTGGCGTGAGTGTTGAGGTCAGAGGACAACTTGGGGAGTTTGTTCTCTCCTTCTACCACGTGGGTCCTGGGGCTCAGACTCTGGCCGCCATGCTTTGGCAGGCACCTTCAACCACTAAGTCATTTCCCAAGTGAAACTGTCACTTTCTTGATGGGACAATTGGATGCAGGGGACTTTGTGCTTTGGAGAAGTCCAGTGTCTTTTCTTTCCTTTTCTTTCCTTTTTGGCTGTTGTGTGGATGGTCATACCTAGGAAGCTTTAGCCCAAGCCAGGACCATGAAGATTCACTGATCTTCCGAGGGCTGGGCAGTTCTCAGTCCTCACATCCACTTTGCTGCCCGTGCAGGGTGTGAGGCAGGGCTCTGATGTCACCCTCCAGCATGTGCAGATCTAGGTGCCCTAGTGACACCTGTTGACAGACCTCTCAGGAGGGACTCTGGCCACCTCATGGGAAATAGGCTCACTGACTGAGGGCTGCTTTCTGCATTCTCAGTCCCTTGTAGCCATTGCTAAGAGTGGAGGTCACTTGTTCCCTCAGCCTTTCTGAATCAACCCCCAAGTTAAGAGGCCCCATCCTTACCCAGAAACATAGCAGTCTTCTTCATGTGAACTGGTCCTGAAACATATTTCCCTTCCCCTACTTCCCAGCATAGCCCCCCACTGCCTCTTGTGTGCAAGTCTTGTGTATTACTAGGAGAAGGTTGGTGGTCCCCAAATTGGTATTGTGGAGCACTTGGTATCTTGTATAGTGCCCAGAGTTTTAGACTGCTGAGCTGCTGTCCCCATCACTTCAAGAAGATATGGGCTTTGCTCATGAACTCTGGGCGGTGAGAAGAGATGAGGATGGAGCCTTGGGTCTGTTTTGCCTCCCAGCCCATGCTGCTGTCCCTACCAGGAAGTGCAGACTGGCACATTCAGCCAGGCAGGTGGCAGAGTCATCAACATCAGCCATGCAGGGATCTTGAAGGTCTCCTCAGGGGAATGGCATTGACCACATATTATGGGGCGCCTGTCTGCAGTTGAGGGGACTCGCCTCATGCTGGGGCTGCTTGCGCCCCACCCTAGCCTACCATCCCGCAAGACTCTCGGGGGAGCCCCCTCAGGTCTAGATGGGCCATCCATGGTCACTGCTCTTCAGTGGACTTCAGTACCCTGAGCATCTTGCCTCCAAGACAATCTATCAAGCATTTCTTCATCCTCTGCCCACTGGCGTCCAACAGTCACGTTTTATTTGGATTTCTTTCCAAAGGAATCTCATGAGAACTCAGCAGAGGGGAAGGAGGCAGACCCTCTATGCTCTGGCCAGAGGGAGAGCGTATAGTTTTCTGCTGAGAGCCCAGCAAGGGTCTCAGTCCACAGGGCAGCACCCTGAAGGGCGCAGGATCATGTGGGGTAAGACAGAGCAACAACAATTCCAGCCAGTGCTGCCGGGACTGACTCCGTAGCTCACAAAGCATAGCTGTAAGGTTATGTCTGCTTGTTGATATTTGTGATACAATGTTAACCTGCCTTGGGGCAGGTGACCAGATTGCTGTCAGCTCTCTTTTCTTGTGGATTCTGTCAGGTGGATCAATGGCTGCTGGTACATTGGGTCATGATGCTGGAGACTGGCTTCTGCAGAATTGCTTCAGCTCGGACTCAAGGCCAGGGAAGAGCCACACCTATACAGTCAGTCTCAGCGTCAGCCCCTTCTTTCCACAGAAAGGAACGTCACTGGTGATCTCTTCATTCATCAGGACCCCACTCAAGTACTCCCTCGGCGATACATCCCTGCCCAGGTGAGGTACCCCAGTGTCACCGCACTGGATGTGCCTGTATGGGGTGGGCTATGAACCAGGTACTTTGAGACATGATCTCCCTTATACCTGCCTACACCTGATGCACCACATTTGTATGAATAAATGAATAAGTGAGCAAATGTATCCACAGGTACAAAGTCGGCCAGCAAGAGAACACCCAGCAGCAGCCATGGGCTACCACTTTTATTCCTGAATTCCGAGTCAGCATAGACCACTCTAGGCTAAACATCACTGGCCCAAACTATCTTCAGCAGACACAATGTCATACAGGGAAAATTATTATCCACACAGAGCAAGAAAACAGAAATGCAAAAATTAAATTACAGGGCAGCCCAAAAAATGCCCACTGTGCAGAAAAATCAAGCCAACTAATTTGTTTGGCCTCCCTTGAAAATGGTGAGGTTTTAACGTGAGTCTCTGGGACCCAGTTCCTAAGGCACCGGGAGGCTGCTTGTAGGGAGGGACAGGGATTTGGTTACAGATGGGCAGATCCAGATTCAATTAGCCTCAGTCCAGACCCCATCTCCCCAGGCTGATGGAATGAGCGAGGGAAGAGAAAGTGCTGTGGCTGGCGAGCTTCACACCACCCCAACCTGCTCCCAGAAAATCAATCTATGCTACCAAGAAGCAGCTTCCACTCTGCCCACAAGGATCAAGATGCCGGCCTCTTGGAAATTAGGGTATACAGAACTCGATCCTTAGACCTCACTAGCTGTATATAAGCTTAGCTATGAACCAGGCAGCTTATGGTTTCCCCAGCACTCTGTGCTTTGGTCAGCATGTTTAACCTCATTCTGCACTTTCCTGAGTGCTGTAGACAGTCTCCAAGCCCTTCTAAGTCAGCAGCAGGAGTGTGTGGTGCCCACACTATGAGGGTCTAGGGAAGATGCTGAGGGAGGTCAAGGTTCAGTAAGCTTAGGATGCTTCTTTACTATACCCATGGGTCTCCAGAAGAGGGCAGGTCCCCAGTCAAAGCAGAGCTAACTCTGAACTCTCAGCTACACTAGAGCCTGGTCAGGTACCAAGCCAGATCTGAGATCCACAGTGGGATCTAGCTCAGGATGTTGTCAGTCCTGTTGTGACCATGCCCCAGATTCTGCGGATCCCTTTCTCAGTCACCTACCTGGCTTTGGCCCAGCTTGTTCTAATGAACATCTCTGTGGGTTGAGAACAGGAACCATATCTGGGATTTCAGGTTTCTGATACCTGGAATCATGCAGTTAGTGGCCACCCCCATGTGCACAGGATACACTGCCAATAGATAAATCATACCAGATTTGCCAACCCAATGAAAGACTGCCCAGAGGCTTGATTGTAGGGATACATTTTGAGGTCTTGGCCTCAGAGCATTCTGAAGAAAGCTACTTTAGAGTGATACCTGTTGGCACAGAAGCCCTCAAAGACTGGGCACAGTACCCTGAAGTGTCCCCAGAAGGCTGGGTGCTCTTACCGTCCACACAAGCAGGCCGGGCTCGCGTGGTACCTGCAATCTGCCCCTTTCTGCATGCACAGCGCGCTGTCTGCCGGGCGATCGTCCTCCGTGGCTGGCTGCTGTCCCGGTCTAGGGTCACTATCTCACAGGTTCCAGCGGCCAGCTGACCTGCAAGGAAGAAACAACCACAAGCTGAGTGGCCACAACCTGGAGTCTCACACCCTGGAGGCCACCCAGCACCCACCTAGAGTGGGGTCCACCACAGCTGGCTCAGCGAAAGCGATGTGGAGAGAGCTCTCTGTGACAGCCAGCAACCCATCTTCTGTATGCTCTGCCAGGGATTTCAGTCAGCCTATCCCAATGGACAGGAAATTAAATGTGGCCATCTCTGCCACACACGGAAATGAAATCTCAGAATTGCAGAGAAAGGTGCTGCCTTCCCCTCATCCCCCACACACTTGGATTTCACAGAAAAACCACCTGCCCAGAGCACAGGGTCCCCAAATCAAGCCAAGCCTTGCAGCTTCCATCCCAATATTTCAGTCGCTACCTGCAGGATGTACTATCTTGGACCCACAAAATGGAGCAGCCATAATATATATGCTACCATATTGCAAGGAAGTATTATCATCCTCACCTGGGCACAGACGGCAGGATGGCCAAGGACCAAGTTATAATTTTCCTGAAAACTTGGACATGCTAATACACATGGACATACATAAGAGGAACACATAGACACACAGAACAGATATTACAAGCCACATGCCTGGATGGCAGACATGGGGAAAACTATACAGGTATACATAGGAGATATTCAAGTGAGAACACACATTCTATATGGGCACAGACTTGTAGGGATGTCATGTGCTGGGTAGAAACTCACACATACACAGGTACAAACAAGTTCCCACATGTACACCTACACCTAGGTGTATACAGATTGTATGGATGAGCTCATGTGTACACACAGGCTCTAATGGGTACATTCAGCTATACTCATGTGCACACAGGCTAACAGGTGTGTCCACGTAGACATGTAATTTCACATGGTATACTTATCTGCATTCAGGAGCTCCTAGGCTACACTGATAGGCCTATGGAAGCATGTATGTACATAGGGGCCGCTCAGCTAGACACATATTTTATGTATGTTCCTGTGTAAATACACAGGTACACAAGATATGCTTAGATGTACATAGGCTACATATAAGTTCCCATGTAAACACACAGGTACACATGGACATACTCATATGTACATGCTCCGGGTATCGTTCAGTGTGGATACACAGGTACACTCAGCTGCAGACAGGCACACAGGGCCCTGGAGTGACCCTAGAAGAAGGGACACGTTTCTCCAAAGTGCCAACCTCACCTCAGGAGAGGGAATCCCACAGGGAAATAGAGCCCTGTGGTTTAAGCTGTCACTGCCCGGCCAGTACCAGGGAGTTCTAAAGAGCAATGCTGTCCAATAAAGATAGCATGGCGCTCACAGTGGGCCATAAAAATGAAAAACTGGCCACCTTGTAGGAGGACAGAGGGCATCCCTCAGCCTGGCTGGTGCTGCCACATTTTGTCCCAGCGCGGTGAGCTCCATCACGCAGCTTCACAGTCTCATTAGGGCACATTCACAGAAACCCTGGGATCTGTCACTCACCCATCACCAGGATCTTCTATTCACGCAGCACATAGCAAGCACCTTCTACTTGCTGCCCTCTGTGGGCACCAGAAAACTTCATGACACATGGTACACCTCCCTCCCTTGGGAGCTCCTTCTGGCTACAGGGCACATCACAGAGATGCTGATGTGAGAATCCCACCCACCTAGATGAAAGCCTTACAGGTGCTGGCAAGAAATAGAACAGGGTCACAGGGACAGACACGAGAAAGAAAGTGGGACAGGCACACAAGAGTGGCCATCTGATTTGCAACCAGATTGATTGGTAGCTCTCAGGGCTTCTCAGCAGTGGTTCCTACAATGCAGGGTGTCCTTCCTTACCACAAGATTCCCTTTGCTACTGTCACCACTCTTTCTCCAGGCAACTGGCTCCCGTGCTGTAGCAGCCTTGCTGCTTAGATACTTCAGGCCAACCCAGAGCCTGGTTACAGCAGGTATCACACACATTAGCAGGAACTATGAGGCAGGGTGGCTCAGCTCCAACAGCCCAGCAATGCCCAGGCCAATAGGAGCCTGGGGTATGTCCTGTCTGGATGTGACCTGGGCCACTTTGGTAAGGCAGGACTGGCCGGAGCTGTCCAAGGTGACTACACTCGCTGCTCATATCTATGCATGATGCTGACAGATCCTGGCTGGTGTACCAACTTCCACGTTGGGAGAATGGATCAGACACATTCAGAGGAAGGATGGGGCAACTAGGGCCTCCCAGACAACTCTGAGCCGCCTCTCCTGCAAACGCCCATGCTGTCTCAAGCTGAAGGCAAAGCCCAGCCAGAGCTGCCTTCCTCAAGCTGCAAGTTTTGACTCATTCTACCTAATCACACTCTGAATTACGTGCTATTGTTAAGAAGCAAGCACAAGCAAAGGGAAGCACTATCAACAAGCGAGGAGGATGGGCAGGGTAGGAGGAGCACCCAGAACAACCAATCAGAGCTAGCACCGATCCCAGAACCAGAGCACTGGGCCTGATGGGAGCTGAAGGACAAACTGGCTGGAAGCAGACAGCAAGCTCTGCAGCACACAAGAAAGAAGTGGTTTCCTTCTTGTGCTTGCCACTGCAATGTGTGGCTGGGCAGCCACGCGGGCACTACCCTACATTTCTATTTAAAACAGGCACACTGGCTCCAGTCACTTTGCTGTTCCTGCCCAGCTTGCCCCACTGTAACTCTGGCCAAGGTTTAGAGTGTCTGGGCCACCTTAGTACATATAACGGTTTCTCTGGGAGGCCTGGAAAGTTGTCTAGAGCTGTCCAGGTAGGGTCTGTCCCAACAAGAATTTTGAAAGTGGAGGAATACTACCAAGTCAATGGCATCTTACAGTTGTGGTAACTCCTGGACACTGGGGAAGTCTGCCCTGGGCCAGCAGCAGCACCACCCTGGGCCCCAGTTCCCTATCAGCAGCCACTTAAAGGTCACATGACATGATCAAGGGACCATGCACATGCACCTGGCTGCAAAGAGCAGGAGTGGGAGGGGCAGCAAATACCACAACTCCCAGGCGCTGTCCCTGGAGAAAGATACGACATAATTTAGGCAAATGTCAGATGACTGGAAGTGTCCCTTCCCCCACAAGGATAAGCCCAGTCCCAACAACTGACCAGGCTCTGTTTGCACTCAGGTGCACATAACTATGGCAAGAAAAAACATCCTCCATGACCGGCTGACCTCACTAAACAGGTTCCTAAGTCACTCCTCCATATAGGCAACATGGCCTTCTACTGCTCTGAGATGGTGGCTGTCCATACAATACCACCAGCTACCTTCACACTGACCTGCATACGCGAATTCCGTGATGAAATCACTACCCCAGCGTTAGACAGATGGACACCCTCTCATTCATACCACTTCTCTCTGTGTCTGAGCTAAGAAAGGTCTCCACCTCATTCCCACATAGTGGGTGGGTGGAGAGCCTGCGCTCAGGGGAGTTGCGGTTTACAGTGCCAGGCTGGAGCCTGCCAGCCTGAGTCCTCTTCAGCAGGGACAAGGAAGAGCCTGTACACTCAGGACCCCAGCTGTCCCTTTAAGAACAAATCCTGGGAACAGGCCTTCCTCCACTTGGGCCCACCTGCCCTGTTTGCCTTGTGTGGGCTCTGAGCTCAGGGTCTCTGGGAAGCCCCATGCAGGACTGTGTCCCTTTTAGCACGAGAGATAAGCAAACTTGACCGTGGAGTGATTTGAGCTTTCAATTCCTGGGCTTCAGCTGCAGGGGGTTTCTGCAGGGCTAGGCCTTGGACCACAGCAAGCAGGGATACTGGGCCCTGGCATGCCTTGATGCCTGCTCAGATGTCAGCCTGCCAGCTCAGCACTGGGATTAGGCCTTGACACAGTCGTATGATAAACACAAACGCTCTCTGCTCTACTGGGTGCTGATGACAACTGAATCAAATCCTGGGACTTCCTCAAAGCAAGAGCTAGCACTGTACAGTAGCCTATCGGAATGTGACACCCCCATATGCTGGAATCTGAGCATTGGTTCCATACCACACAGGCTGTGATCTGGATCTTGTCCAACATTACAAAGGCTGGGTTCAGAAGTTAGCCCAACACTGAACGGGTCCCGGTAATGACACTGGTCTAGGGGAGTCAATGGCTACACTTTCTCTGGGCATTCAAACCAGGCCCACCCTGGCATCCTTCTCCCTGCATCTATAGGTCCTGGAGAAACACTTCTCTCAGGCCATGTCATACACAGGCATGACATCAATGCTGCAACGAGATGAAGGCCATACTGAATACATCTACACGAAGATTCCCAGAACTACATTCAGCCCTCTGACCTCCTGGGTCTCTAGGATCCTGGAGGCCACATACGGATGGATGTCCATCCACTTCAGCCGCCTCCTGTTTTCTGAGCGGGATACGATTTCAGAGAACATCATATTGGAGATCACAGCACAGGATAGGTCCCACTAGAATGCCCAGCTATCCCTCAGACCAGCAGGCTAGGGCCAAGTCAATAAAGGGAACAGAGTGCCCTGAAGGCAAATTTTGCAAACTCAGTCCCAAATGCTGGATGAGGAAGGCAGGACAGCTTCCACACCTGTTAAAGATTTCATGTGGACATAGCAAAGGCTACTGGCTCTGGACAGGGTGACAAGGCTAGACCTCAGCAGCCAATGTACAGGGTTTCCAGGGCAGGTGGGAAGAAAGCCCTGGGAGGGGGGGTCAGTAAAAAGCAAGGTCCCAGGTTCTCTCATGCAGTATCCCTCCACTTGGGGCACACACCGATAAGCTCTTCAGTCCCACAGGGTTGTGACTTATATCTGAGAGGATATAGGATATGATGGATGTCAGAATAAAGATTCAAAGTAACTCTGACAGGTGCAGAGTGAGACGGTAGAATTTAACAATCATAAATGTCAGCCTCCGTGTTTGGATTAGAATGAAAACAAGGTGGAGTCAGGAGGCCAGGGAGGATCTAGAGCCTGCATCAGCCGGCTTTACCTGGCTATGGGATTCATTGTCATACATAAGACAGGAATCAAGGAGGGCCA